TACCGACAGTGGGTTCATCACTCCGCTGTCGGTAAATGACACAAATGGCGCCATCTAGCTGTACAAATAGGAACTATTCAACGACAAACTTGGGCGTTTTCCCGATAGAGGCGCTGACCAAACTCCGAAGTTAATTCGGGTTCTTCGGCGCTAGATGGCGATACTGTAAAAAACCGCGTTTTCGTAAGAAATTTGAATTATCTTGTTAAATATTATAATAATATAACTGGGTAATGTATAATAATGTAATATACAGTATTATAATAAACAGAGGGACATATAAACATATGAGACGGTTAAATTTTCGCTAATAATAATAACCAAAGTAATCAATACTTCAATTTATTTGCGTAATATTGTTACATTTACGAGTTTACTTGAAATTAATTAACATATCCAATGTTGAATCTTAAGGCACTATGGTAAATCAATAAAACGTTTGAATGAAGCCAGTTAGTAAATAAATTCTCGAGGTTCGATTTCGATGCTCTCGCTGTTATCTTGTACTTCTTCATCGAACGTGTCCACCTCGGATTGAGGCTCTTCGTCATCTTGGATGTAAGATTGTTGTTGTTTGATCCAGTTCAAGTAGGAGGATACTCTGGTGTACACATCAGGGCTTCCAACACCGCATGGGCGTCCGAAGGATACGATACCGATTTGTTGTCCGTTGGCGACGAGGGGGCCACCAGAGTCACCCTGAAATATCACAGAATACAATTATTACAAATTTAATACGAATTTCTAATAGTTTCAAAAAAATTAAGTAGTATTTTCGGTATCTTTTACGTAAAGTCACTACGAATGTTAACAACAATTAACTTGTTGAGCATTATAGAGCAGAAGTAATGTTTAGAATATTTGGAATATTTGGGATATTTGGGATATATCACTGTCGTCACAGTGAATAAGAAATATTTTATAAATTTAAATTTATCCAATAAACCATTTACACTAAATGAGTGATATTATTCTGCCAGGCACGTGTATCGTGAAAAGACAGTTTCACTTACGTTGCATGCGCCTTGTCCGACTTTGGTGAACGTGCAGATTTGAGTGCTTTGAACAGTGGCTACTCCTTTCCATGCCTGTTGGCACTTAGACAGACCCTCGACGCGCAAGTCAGCGTACTGCAATTTGTTGGGGACACTTCCTCCGGCCTGAACAAAATCAACATTCAAATTTATTAGAAACAATCAAGGTAATTAAGGTAGGTCGAAATAGTAATAATCTATCACTGACCCTCAGGGTTCCCCATCCAGACAGAACGCAGGCAGCACCATCAGCGACATTTCCGGTGGCGAGTGGGATAGCTTTAACGTTGGCTTTGAAGGCAATCGGCTTGCTGACACGAAGCAGAGCAATGTCGTTGGCGATCGAACGAGCATTGTAGCTTGGATGGGCTAGGCCACTTTCAACTGCGTAAGCATCTCCAGATTCGCTGACCAGGTTCGTTCCGGCGTGGACGGTAATGCTCTTAATGCTGGTCACTCTATAAACAAGAAAACATTCTCGATGTTGGTCTGTCGGTAATTAAAATCTATCGAGTTAAATGACTAATTATATTCCTGTTTTCATAAATCGTGGTATTCGTAGATTAAACTGTATTTTCTTGTGCTTGTTGAATTTCATAGGACTTACGCCTTCACGCAGTGGGCTGCAGTAAGGATGTAACGAGAGCTGATGATGGACCCACCACAGAAGTGGCGTCCATTTAATCTCAGAGAAACTTGGTAGGGGAATTTTCCAACGGGTGCATCACTGCCTCCAACGATCTGGGTCTCGGGGAACCCTAAATGGACAGAATTACGCTACGATTAATTCTAATCATTAGTACTTTCATTTAAGGACATTCTTTAGTGATCTTAACTTCCACCTAGACAAGTGGTTCGTAACTTAAATTCCAGTTTTTAATATCACAGATAAATACGGAATTTTAGCTCTTACCGAAGCAATCCTAACGTTGGAATTGTTTATTGGGGAAAAAAATAAAATTGTAAAATTATCTAACAATAAATGTCCCTAATGTTCCTGTATTTAGTTTGTGTTGCAATTCAAAATATACTTCATCAATAGCTTATTTTATGTTTCATCAATAACAATTTTTAAAAAATAATTGCACGTTTATATTAAGCGTTCAAACGTGTTTAACCATAGAAAGAAATGTCCAATTTAAATAGAATACGATAAAATACAGGCAACTGGTCGTATCAAGTGTTTTACTTACCGTAGGCGAAAGCCGCAAGGCTGAGCACAACAGCGAAGTTGAGCGCGTACATGATTGCACTATTCGTAGTACTGTAACTAGCAACTTGCAACGGATCTCTTTATATACATTCAAAAAGCTTGCGCTGCAACGATAAGGACGAAAAAGATATTAGATTTTTTTAAACACGAAACACTTGACAATTGATGAGATTGATTCCAAAGGCAAGGTGCAACGATTACCATTCAATATCATATTTTTCTAGAAAGTGGAAATAATTAAACTGATAACAAGTATCTTTTTGTAGTGTTTATTTTTCTGATATCGTTAGCGTTTCCAGGAGTGTAAAAAGATCATAACGTTGCAAAGTTGTTGCATTTAATTGGACATATTGTACTAAATATTATTAGTATTCGTAATGTATCCGTTAAAATATGATTTTTTGACAGCTGTGACGAAATTACAAACATTTATAATGATTATGAGTTTACTTTGATTCTATTATTTGCTTATGTGCGTTCTGTCGTGTAATATTGATGATCATAATTGGAAAAATTATGACATATGTAAATATCAACCTCGATGATACGTGTCAGTGAACTGATATGTTAGGTTTGCGAGAAGCGAGGTAGAAGAAACGATAAAAGACAATAATTTACGAGAAATATGTGTATTTATTAATGAATTATTGGAGAGGTAGAGTTTAAACAAGTTAGTACAGAGCAAATTCAGGTTGTTGTTCTTCTGCGATCATCACACTGTCGGGTTGCGATGGTTCTTCGACCATGTCCACGTCAGATTCCTCGTCGTCCTGAATGAGAGATTGTTGTCCTCTGATCCAGTTCAAGTAGGAGGATACTTTGGTGTACACATCAGGGCTTCCAAGACCGCATGGACGTCCGAAGGATACGATACCGATTTGTTTGCCGTTGGCAACGAGAGGGCCACCAGAGTCACCCTGAAACGTGGTAGAATACAGTTATTACAAAGTCAACATGGATTTCAAATTGTTTAAAAAAAATGAGTTACTTACGTTGCATGCACCCTGTCCGACTCTTGTGAGCGTGCAGACTTGAGTGTTTTGAACACTGGCAACACCTCTCCATGCTTTTTGGCATTTAGACAGAGGCTCGACGCGCAAGTTAGCGTACTGCAATTTGTTGGGGACAGATCCACCGGCCTGAAAATAACATCGATATCCAATTAGATTTTCGTTAAACACGCCCACTACATACATCCTACTTTATAATGTTTCGATTGGAGTCATAGCGTATCGTCGATATTTCAAAGGTAACGATGATCTACATATTACTGACCTTCAGTGTTCCCCATCCAGATAGAACGCAGGATGATCCATCAGCGACGTTGCGGGAGGCCAGTCCGATAGATTTAACTTTAGCGTTGAAGGCAATATTCTTGTTGACGCGGATCACAGCAACATCGTTAGAAATCGTTTCCTCGTTGTAGTTGGGATGGGCTACGCCACTTTCGACGTTGTAAACAGCTCCGGATTGGCTCAAAAGGTTTATTCCAACGTGGACGGTAGCGTGTCGGATGTTTGGCACTCTGCGATCAAAAATACGTTCCCGATTTAAATGATGGTAATTAAAATTGATGTAACAGGACAGGTAACTGTACCGTAGGCAAGTATTTGTTCATATTATAAACGTTTCGACCCGTTTTTGGCATCGTTAGGATACTAAAGTGACATTTACAGATGTAGACGCAAGAAGATTCAGTATATATTAATATTTTATAATACTAGTGATGTAAATAAATAAAAATAGAGTTTGTACAACAAGATGAATATTTACTGCAACTAGATAGACGAACAACCATGAAACTTACCCTTTCACGCAATGGGCAGCAGTGAGGATGTAGCGGCTGCTGATGATGGATCCACCACAGAAGTGGTTTCCGTTGTATTGAAGAGAGACTTGATAGGGGAATTTTCCATCAGGTGCGTCGTTGCCACCCACGATCTGACTCCCTGGGAATCCTGAATCGACAAAAAAAAAAATAAAAACGCTATAGTCACATCTGCATTTATTTAACCATGTCTATTTCAAAAAGTAGAAAGAATTTTTACGGAATAAAAATTTCCTGTTACAGGACACTACGATTTCATTCAATTTTCTACATTACACTTAAACAAGTTGGGCATTTCGGATCTTGTTAATGTTAAGTAAAAAAAAAAAAAAAAAAAGAAGTTTAAACGACTCACTAATGTCAATTGGACAAAGATGAAATTGACGAGTATTGTAATAACAATTTTAATTTTAAATAAACCAAGTAAATCGATTAAGTTCTTCTGCACAAATTTTAAATTTTATTGAAACAACGATATACATTTATATTATACATATATTTTATTGAAACAATGTATATATATATATATATACAATTTCTTTTTATATTACTGTGTACCATTAATGCATAAAATCCGCAGTTTGTTCATAAGATTGAGTATTTACGTGTACATTTTATACGTTCAAACGTTTTTTATTTCAATAAGAAATGTTCAAATTCAATAGAATATCAAAAAATACAGAAAAATGGTGTATTGAATAATTACTTACCGTAAGCGGAAACCGCAAGGCAGAGCACGATGGCAACACTAAGCGTGTACATGATGGAAAAAATCCCAATGGTGAAGTTACCAACTCCACGGTCTAATATATATACGATCCCGAAAGCGTACGATTTGACGTCGAAGAGGGGCAAACATTAAATTTGAGCGAAAAGACACTTGAAAATTCGGTACGTTTGATTGAAATCGTTAGATATAATTCTCAATTATCTATCATCAGATCCTTATTAAACGAGGAAGTAATTAATCTGATAACGAGAATCACTCGTCGCATTTTGCGTAGTTCTACAATAGATAGAACGTGTAAGAAATTTCTTTGATAATTTGCGTCGAAAGATCGAATTTCAATCAGTAATTTAATCTTTCTATTACGAACGAATCAATTCTTTAATTAAGATTTACGACCAACTGCGAGATTAGCCCGAAATAGATAGATAGATAGCGTATAAATACTTGTCGTGGCCTTTGTTTTTGTTGCATGAATAATATTTTGGTTTTTGGTTCGCATCGGGCGCCATTGACTTTCAGAAGAATTTGAATTATTTAAAGAATAGTGGACCAGAGACAGATATCGATGAGAAAACTGCGATTCCTTGATTTCATTTTATCCATATCTTAATTATTTATGTCCTGTTTATTCGCAACATTCGCGGAAAAGGATCTAAGCATTTCTGCATTGAATATTCGTACCCCTCATGGAAAAAAATTGGATAATGAACGAAACGAGCCCAATACAATGTTTATAACGTAATTAAGTACTTAATTGAAGTACCGTAATTAACAATTGCTCAGAAAACTACGAGACACGTTAAATACAGTTTTGTTTAATTAATTGTTACAGCGTGAGTCCTTTGTATAGCAACGCGATTTTCGCTGAATTTTTTATTAACGGATGATTAAAATCCTGATTATCGAGATGTTATCTCTAATATACGCAATAACTAAAAAAATTGTTTGAACGAGATACGAAATCACCATTACGCAATAGGTGCACGTATCTATAATCAATTCGCGATCAAGAGCGACGCAGATATCGCTAATATTTTGTTCGTGACGATGAGATACATGAAGAAGTAGCTTCGAACGTCGATTATCTTTTTCAGTGCCTCGATGGAACTCGATCAAAACGTGTGCTATATATACGTAATTCCAAAGTACTTTATAAAGAATCTATTTTTTGATTGCAATCTGAAAAAAATGTTGAGGAAACAGAATTTCATTTCATAAGTAAAAGGGTGATTAAATTTGTTCACAACACTTAAAGGATATGTTTCACATATTAATTGAAATAATAAGTGGCATAAACTTGTGAGACGATATAATTTAATATAACGTAATAATTTGTAAATCGATGCGTGTAGGAATAGAGAATTATTTTATTGAAAGTTTGTGTCGGAATATTTTTTTTATTCAAAAGGAATTCTTCTATACATAGAAAAATTAATAACAACAATTATAGAAGAGGTTGCGTTATAAAATTTTGTATTTGTTAAATTGTTACGAAATAATTAGAAACGTATAGTCAGAAAATTCAGGCTACGACACTTTCATGCTGCTGCTCTTCTTCGTCAAGAAGTAAAGTTTGCTGTGCCTTGATCCAGGGCAAGAATGATGTCACTCTCGTGTAGACATCAGGATATCCAATACCGCATGGTCGTCCAAAGGATACGATACCGATTTGCACACCATTGGAGACTAGAGGACCACCAGAGTCACCCTGTAATCATAAAAAAAAAAAACAATGATTATAAAATATTTATATGTTTCTGGTAGCTAAGTCGCATTTGTTCCAGTATTTATACTTTCCGAATTTCAAATTCTCTTATTCTTTTAATAATTAATAGATAAAGTAGCAACGGGACTGTTGCAGCGTTCCAGGCACCTACGTATGCCTTACTATAGTTAGTTATGAATATTTTAGAATTTTTTTATCGGGTTATTCAGTATATCGTTTGCTTTTCAAATTCGTTCAGTGAAACGTTCTCGACTTTCGCAGTAAGTGTAATCGTTAAAAAATAAAGGGAACAATTAAACTTACATGGCACGCTCCCTCTCCATACTTAGTGAATGTGCAGATTTGAGAATCGCGCAGATTCCTGTGGGTCTGTTTGCATTTTTCCTGAGTTTCAACGCGCAAGCTTATGTATTGCAAGTTGTTGGGCGGTCTTCCTCCGACCTGGCAACAAAATCGATTTAATTAGAAATAAATAAGCACAAGCCGAATTAGTATCACGAGAATTGTTTCGACCAATGTAAATCTACCACTGACCTTGAGCGTTCCCCATCCTGTCAGAGTGCAGGCTGATCCTTCAGGAACATTCTTCGAAGCCAATGTAATCGGTGCGACGTTTGCGTTGAAAGAAATGGCTTTATTTACGCGAATTACAGCCACGTCGTTAACGAGCGAGCTGTAATCAGGATGGATTGTGATCTTCTCCACTCCATAAACAGTTCCAGGGCTGTTTAAAAGGTTGGTTCCCGCGTGGACCGTTATGCTGCTGGGCGACTCTCTGTAGACAAGCGACAGTAATATTAATAATAATAATAATACTACAGCATTATTGCATCGGAATTTCTTGAGAAATGAAAGAAATAGAATAATTACAATAATAAATTAAAATATTAACTCTTAAATCATTGCATTATCTGGAATTTAAATAAAAGCTGTTAACACTGTTCAAATCATCCAATATAAAATTATTGTACCTATTAAAATACCTTTCCTACTTTTACTAATAATAATTTGTGAGTCGTACCCCGAGACGCAATGCGCCGCAGTGAGGATGTAGCGAGCATTCATAATGGATCCACCGCAGAAATGGTTTCCATTTTGCCTAAGAGAAACTTGGTAGGGATATTTTCCAGCAGGAGCATCCGCTCCACCAACGATCTGAGTTCCAGGGAACCCTGTATTGATCAATTCACGGTACAGTTAGCTCTACTTTTTATTTAAATATTACACTTTATATCATGGATACTTCACTATGGTAACCGTATAGGAGAAATAATTATTATTTTATTTTAATTGTTATTTTTACTTACCATACGCCGTGGCTGCGATGCAGAGCACAAGAGTGATGCTCAGATTGTACATGATTGCCTAAATCCTGGGACTGCAATTGATAATGCATTCACCAACGTATATATACGCGGAGGACGGATATTGCATCGATAAGGAAATAAGAATTACTTGGTATTGATCGATGATAGGGATAAACATGGTCACAGATATTAAAAGATTAGTTGATTGAAAGATTCGCAGCTATCAGCTTTGTATCAGATTCCTTTTGTTTTGCAAAAACAAGCAAACTGTCTGAACGTTAATATAAGATTTGAGTCATATGGTATAACTGGATTGTGGATCTTTATGGAAATTCAGATTTTCACAGATATCGAAAAAGAATCGAAATCAAAATGAAAGTATGTCTTATTTTCTAGGCGGATAATGTTTATATCATCGTTGACGTTTTACAGATTTTTGCATTTGCACCTCATATCATTATTTACCGTAAATCCACGAAAATCCACAGCCCAGTTATAATTGTGTGATAAATTTTAGTAATTTGTTCGTGACGCGTAACAGGTACACAATTGTTCGCCGTTTTTTCGTTGCCTGTTATTTGATATATTATATTCGAGTAAATACTTAACCTGTTCTCACGTCTAACAACTTCATTTATTCTCAACCTTGGATAAAAATTCGTAATGAACGTAACGAGGAGAAAAGCAATATTTTATAATTTATAAAACGATAGTAATTATTTTTAAATCATAATTATCATAAAATTCTATTATGTTGTTGTTGTACAAAATAATTGAGTGCTTATTTTATAATTATAGATACTTTTGGATTTACCGTAAATTAATTAATAATGAATTATATTTCTACGTATGTACAACAAACTGTGAAAAACAAACAAAACATTTACAAAAATATGGATGAACTTTATTACCAAATAAAGAATACAAATTTTTAATTCAATTGCGAGTCTGACGGATGACAATTTACGGAACGAATTTACGAATTGATCTACCAGCCTCGTTTATTATCTGAAATTAAATCTTACCAACTCGGGTTCTATTGGTAGTTACAAGAGCGTCGATAACATCTTTTAATTTTGATAGGATTCTGATACTATTTCAATAGTCGATGGGGATTAAAATACTCGATTAATATGTGATTTAAAAGAATTCAAATGATATAGAAAATCGGATTTGTCTATTGTTCATATCAATAAATCATTTAATCATCGAACGGGAAAGATGAACGTTTCAATTGTCGTGTGTCAATCATTTCTAGTAGATAAAGACCTAAACAAAGAGAACGTCGAAGAAATTACACGCTTGATGTACAATATCTCTTGACGTGTACACTTTATGCAAGCTCTTTAAACTATTGTCCTACATGTTAATCCTAAATAATTAATCGTCCATCTACTAGATGTTAATACACTGTAAGAGACATTGACCACAAGTTTCCTTCAGTCGTCACTCCGAATGAACAATTTGTAAATACAGGGAAACACAGTCAACCTATTCAACGTCATTGTGAAAATATATTTTATTTTAGAAAAATTCTTCAGTACGTGTATTACAAAAACTTCATTGGCAAAAATATTATTAAAGCCTAATGGAACAATTAGGAACGCGTAGTCAGATGAGTCAGACTACATCGCTTTCAAGCTGTTCTTCTTCTTCGTTCATAAGCAAAGTTTGCTGTTGGTCGATCCAGGACAAGAATGACGTTACTCTTGTGTATACGTCAGGGCTTCCAATACCGCATGGACGTCCGAAGGATACGATACCGATTTGTTGGCCGTTGGCAACAAGGGGGCCACCAGAGTCACCCTGCAAAATTGGACAATAGAAAATAGAAGTTAACCCAATATTCTTCAAATGCTATCAAACGTTCTACATTTTTCCAATACATATATATTTAAAAAAGAACGCTTGAACTTACGTTGCATGCTCCCTCTCCGTATTTGGTGAGTGTGCAGATGTGAGACTCGCGCACATTCCAGTAGGTCTGTTTGCATTTTGCCTGAGTTTCAACACGCAGATTTATGTACTGCAAGTTGTTGGGCAGACTTCCTCCGGCCTGAGAAAAAATCGATTCAATTAGAATAAATAGAAAACAGTCCAAATTGGTGTCACGTTCTTGCAACATTAACATTGCACCAATCCTTTTCATTATTTTTAATCAAACTCTTTACGTGAACGTTGCACTTGTTTCTCTTTCTAATTAAACTCTCCATATTAACGATCATTCTTTCTTGCTAACCAGATCCACCGTATCAATGCTGCATTAATCTCGATAAAATAATTTTTCAACGAATAAACTAATTCGCTTATTTCGTATTACTCGTATTGCATTTCTAAAATCTATCGCTCACCTTAAGCGTTCCCCATCCTGACAAGGTGCAGGATGATTCTTCAGCGACGTCCCTAGTGGCCAGTTTGATCGGTGAAACGTTCGCATTGAAAGAGATGTCCTTATTGACGCGAATTATAGCCACGTCGTTAACGAGAAGTAAACTGCTGAATTTGGAGTGGGCAGCAATCCTTTCCGCTTTATAAACAGTTCCGCTTGAGCTCAGGAGGTTTGTGCCAGCGTGAACGGTTATGCTGCTGGGTGACTGCCTGTATACAATGGATAATAATAATAATTATTCTTTTATATATAGTTCTTAGTTGTATAGTTCTTTTTCAATTAGTATCTGAAGACGTACCCCTGGACACAGTGAGCTGCAGTGAGGATGTAGCGTTTATTCAAGATAGATCCACCGCAGAAGTGGTTTCCATTTTTCCTGAGGGAAACTTGGTACGGAAACATTCCAGCCGGTGCATCTTTGCCGCCGACGATCTGGCCTCCAGGGAAGCCTAAATTAATCGAATTCATTTATGGATTTATTTAACGTTGAATTTCCTTGAATAAATGCAATTTGTTGTTGTATTTGTTTCTACTTACCGTACGCCGCGACTACGAGACCGAGCCCAAGAAGAATGTTTAAAGCGTTCATGATTGCAGAACTCCCAACTCTGTAACTGCCAACTGCATGCACCGATTTATATATGCGTCGAGTATGGATATTTTTCCGATAAGGATAAAAAAAAGAGATTACTGGATTTTGATCGATGTTGTGAATTAACGCAGACTACAGACACCGATGGTCTCGATCTTCAAAAATCCGGCAGATACGACAGCTGAGACAATGCGATATCCGTATCGACGTGTATTGGATTACTTATGGATTAAGGAAGCAATCGGTACGAAAACCAATAGCATAACTAGCCGGCAGACGATATTTATGGATCAGCGGGACGATAGTGAATGTTCGACAGACACAAGGGCCGAAGGTTTGTGGTTGACAGGTACGTGGACACCTTCGATGAATAATTAATACACACCGTATGTTATCGGGATAAAAGTTTGTATTGTTAAATTTTTTATTTCAGATATGTGTTTAGTAACATTTAATACATTTAATCATTTTCAAGTTTAGAAATGGAATTTTCAGTGTATTTATTTCCAGTTAATTTCCGTGTATTTATTATATTGGTTTATATCGTAAACTACAAAATTTGCAGTCTATTAAATACAGAATTATAAATGAGTGCTTGTTCAAACGTTTCAAAGTTAAAATACGAATGTTTGAACAACGTTTGGACAAACGTATCGAACGAGATATCCATCGATAATATCCGTCCCATTGTAATACAACTTTGTCACATTTTCATTAGTCATTCTCGATTAGAAACTCCAATTGCCATATCATGATATGATATCTCGGACATAGGAATTTGCTTCATAATTGATTCGAATCAGTTAGGAAATCACGTTTATCGTTTACGTGATACGTATATGAATAATCAATTTGCAATCAAACGAGACGCAGTTTATCGTATCGGGAAGATCGTTTCGTTGCGAGACCATGATTATCTCGATGAGGAGTCGACATTGACGACAGATACAAAAAATTCAACGTTTGAAATCAATTCTATGGTGTAACTTAAAATGTATCATTAAGTTAGACGAATTTTTTTTTTTTTTTTAAGTAATGATCCAAGTCTGAAACGTGATCATTTGTTAATCTTCAATGAGACGACACTTACTTTTTATTTCGCTTAAATCTTAGAAAATAATTTGCAAACATCAAAGTATCGATTCTTATGCCGTGAAACTGATGATTCAGACTTCGTGGGGGAGTCGTAGCTAGGAAACTGAATTACCATATGCAGGATCGTAAATTGGAAACCAGTCGTTTTGAATCAATACAATATTTTAAAGAGACGAAGCGTGGCAGGAGTTCAAGATTCGTTTTAAACTCTGTTTTTACGTAAATAATTTTCGTTCCAGTCTGATGAATTGATTTTCGATTTAATAACGAGGAAAAGCACGAATCGTATAATTCTCTACCCATCTGGCAGATGCCACCACGTGGATGGATGCGCGTTTCCATTGGATCTCTTTGAACAATCCTAATAATAACTTGTAAGTATGTAGTTAATAATAAGCGACTAGACAATAAGTAGATATTATACTTACGCATTTAACTTGGTAGATAAACCTGCGAGGAGACTAAAGTGCCTCAATAAGAAAAAAAAAAAAAAAGAGACATCATTGGATTTCTGTAATGCTTATAAAACTCAATCACATAGAACTAATTAAATAGTAAAGGTAGATCTCTAGCCAAATATGTAATTTCTACCGAACTAAAAATTGCGATTACATAGGCATATAAATGTTAATAAATGTTTTCAAAATTTTCCGGGTGCTCCACATGTTACGAAAAATCCTGAAAAATTCGTCTCCTTCTCAGTCGTTTCGTATCCGACCTAAAACCCCGAGATCCGCCATAATCGTCCCGACGATCGAAAAACACGCGAGCGTTTCCGTGTTTCGCGGGCGTTACCTCCCATCGGAAAACGCGGTTGTCCTCCTCTCCTTTATCGTTAAAAAAAAGGATGCCAAAGGACGCCCGCGAGCGTCACGCAGAAGAACCCGCCGCGAAGATTGCCGCCTCGAAACCGCTCGATGTCTCTCCACCCCCGCGTTGAAATTCCGCGTAAAAAAGAAACGAACCGCGGGTGTTTCTTCGACTTCCACCACGGTGTCCACCGAGAGGCCTCCTCCTCCCATGTTTTCAGCCTTATACTTACAAGCAACAATTTTACAGGGTCGGGCTGCCGGTAATCGGTCTCGAAAAATTGGTCGAGCATCCTCTGGGTCTGCGGTGGCGTCGAGAGATCGATGGGAATCCGCTTTGAGTCGTGGGTGCGACGACCCGAAAACTCCTTGGAACGTCGTTACACACCACGGGCAGAAAACGGAGTGCTCTCGAGTGGGCGATGGTTATTTTTATGCCTCGTAATTATACATTTTTCTGCTCGGTGCCTCGGACTTTTAAGGGTTACATTTAGAACGGACCCGAATCGGGAGGCAGGGGGGGCTGCGTTTTCGCGCGTGTTTCTCCCACGATCCTGCGCGAACGACCGTCTTGCAGTGAGAAAACCGCGCGAGGGATCGGCGTCCTCTTCCAGCGACGAATGGTCCCATTTTTATTTGTTTTTTTGTTTTGTTCTTTCGTGGGAGTTCGTAAGTTGAGGGTTACTTTTTATTTACGGCGGTTCAGGCGTTTGGTTGGACCTTCATTGCGAATAATATTCGAAACGAGAGGATATCCTTGGAGCGATGTATTATTTTTGGGGGTTTTCGAATCGATTATTTAGGCGGTTATTTAAACGCGAGGTAAATGTTTTATATCGAGATCGTTCGAGTTGACTATTCTCGAAAATTGCCAGTAATCGTCGAACGACGAATACTGGAAACGCAGCGCGATGGAACGGTAATGGAGAGCCCCGAAAATCGTTCGGATCACCATCTGTCATAGCGGATCGTTAACTCGGTTATAGCGCACGCATATCAAATCGTCCACGACGTACCTTAGCACGAAATAGGCAGCGCTGTAATGCGATTTGGATATATGGAGAGTCCTGTGGGATATTACCAGCACAGAGCTTTCTCCCCTGTGATACGACAAATGATATGCATATGTAAATACGGTGACCGTGCATTACGAATCGGCCTAACGCCGAGGAATCTGATTTGCAAACCGTTTTACGAGCGCTAGTCTGTAACGTATGTATGTATACGTGTGGTGGGACTCTTTTTGGTATTTTTCTCGACTATTTAGGATCATTTTAGGGTCCATCGTAAATTAGGAATATTAATTTATAATATCGAACAAATTTGAGAGCAGCAACCACGTGGAAAAATAGAGTTCCGTCTTGGATTGATCCAGCGACGTCGAAACAACAGCTAGAGAAGTCCGAGGGAGTTTAGTTTTATCTCACGGTGTTTGGTTCTATCGGTGGTGCTCGGATGATCCCGTTAACAGGATCAAGACTCGTGGCAGACGAAGGGTTCTTGTTATTCGCAATCGCCTTCTCCTCTGATCCTTGGGGACGCGAAATCCCCCTGGATACCCCGAGAATTACCAGGAACCGTCGGGATATATTCATTTGCAGAATACACAATGAACGAAATTACTTGCCACCCGTTCTACTTATTAGTCCTTCCTCGATGAGGCAGACTGTTGACGTTAAGCATAACGTCTCCGTCAGGAACCACCATTTTTTGGATCTTGACCACTAAATGATCCAACAATACTCGATACCAACTATTGTGTCTCGATTAGAATCGGTTGCAGCTTTCGGTCGGTTTAAAGAGCTCAATCATCGTTTGTAATCCGGTTCGATAAGTATTTATCCAAAATCGTATCGAGATAGGAAGTATTAATGCAAATAGACTTCGCACTTCGTTTATCTCGAACGGGATTTTAGCATATCATGTACATTTATAATTGGATCAGTCGCAGATTTTTGAGATTGAAGTGGTTTTATTTGTATAGATTTTTGTATGGAGATTGAAAGATAATATTTCGGGCCATTACAGGTTATTATTTGTTTGCAGAATAATGTTCGTGTGTACAATTTGAAGAAAATACTTCGACTTACGAAGATGCAAAGATATATTTTATAATAACTCATTCTACTCTATCCTGCAGAAATATGTCATTATAACTATAATTTATAATAACTATATAATTATAGTAACTATAATTAATAATCTCTATTAAATTCGAAAAGAATCCAATCTTAAGGATCGATTAAGTTTATCGTTCGCCGTGTTATTAATTGTCAGAAAATAGAACGGTTTATCAAGACGAGGCTTCGATTTGCGTTAATGGAAGCATCGCGTTCACTTCAAACGTGAAACCAATCACCCTCGACTAACAACTCTTACGAAGGATCAGCCAGCACTTTGTCTGGATGGGGATCCTCTGATGTCTGTGACAGATTCTAATTACTTTAACCTAATGGTAGTTTAAATTGATTCCATTAGAATATTAAACGTCGTGTACGTGGTGATCCCAGAAACATTTCCAGGTCAAATGTGGTATCTATACAAATATATATGTAACAACAAATTGCATTTATACAAGAAAATTCAACGTTAAATAAATCTTTACAAAATTACAGAATATTACTATTTACATCCCGAAAGTCCCGAGCTAGATAACAGAAATTGACCAAGAATTCCAAGTGTTACAGAACTCGCAACTCGCAACATAGACGATGAAACGTCGATCGATATCGTCCGTAGCGATTTTCGTGACGATGCAACTTCGATCGACGAACGTAGGGGCAACACCGCGCGCGAGTATAGTTACGCGGAATACGATAATAATTACTAGCGTAGAAGCTACCCTGTGTTTACGGAGGACCTATTATTAGTGCAAACACGTATTACCGTCCGGTTGTTCTCCGTTTATGGCTGGTAAGTGATTTCAACCACGGCCAGCCGTAGAAAGTGCCGGCAAATTGAGCACTTGAAGACGCGAAGAAGACGTCAACGCCGCGAACAAGCTCTCGCGTTACAAGAATACCAGGATCGCTTTGGAGGATATTAGTTTGCTGGCCATTCGACGAACAACGGCCAATTCGTTTACGTTTATGCCTCGATTTGGACGGCAGCTCGTGTATTATAAATTATCTGGAGGATTTATCGGTTGTTCTTTTAATAGTACTCGATTTGCGAGC